AGGCCAGCCTAGGCTACATGGTGAGGTCAAGGCCAGCCAGAACTACATAGGGAGACCTTGTCTCAAAAAAAAAAAAAAAAAAAAAAAGGTGATGCTTTTTCAAGGAAGTAAAATTTTAGCATATTTGTAGTCCTGGAAAGAGATGGTAAAGATACAAAAGTGAGGGTAGTTGATGAAGCTATTGTGGAACAACAATTAGACTTACAAGGCAGGTGTAACCACTGAACTAAATCCCCGGCCCCACTTGGCCATTTTTAAGAGACTGGCCTTGTCAATGTGAATCCTCACTCTATTGAAAAGGATCCCTAGAAGAAAAAAAAAGAAAAGGATCCCTAAGGGCCCAGGATTTAGCTCAGTGGCATCATGCCTGCCTTGCAAGTACAAGGTCCTGAGTTCGATCCCTGGTACGGCAAAAAAAAAATTGTGTTCACTTCGGCAGCACATATACTGAAAAGGATCCATAAGATCTATAGGAATCTCACAAAAGCCTGCAACTCTAAGATTTGTCCATAAACCAGAGGAGAGCTCAGAGCAGTAGAAGCAGGTACAAGGTCAAGGTAAAATTTCTAATAAAAAGAACTGATATTTTATTCCTGTTATACAAAATTTAAGTTCACAGACTAGTCAGGAGATTTGACCAGTCATCTAGCTCATTTGTGTGTGTGTGTGTGTGTGTGTGTGTGTGTGTGTGTGAGAGAGAGAGAGAGAGAGAGAGAAAGAGAGAGAGAGAGTCCAAATGATGGAAATCTCATAAATGTGAAGCTAGAGGAGGTAGTTTCACAGTTCTCAGAAGAAACAGACCACACAGCCTTCCAGGGGCCTGGTTCTTTGTCCCTTCTTCTACACTGGTCATTCTCCTGCTTTTGCATTTTTCTAAACAACATCAAATAACAAAAACAATCTCCCGTCCCACTTTTGTCTCCTGGTGGCACCTGTTTAAGACAGCAGTGCATTTACCCCTCTGCAGAGGGGCAGCAGCCTAAGACAAATGCCTAGCCGGCTGCAGAGGGAGAGGCAGTTTTTCCAGAGATCTTTGGGCAGGCAGAGGGGAGCTCCAAAGGAGGGTTGAGGGCTCTAGCCGAAAAGTCTCTCCTCACAACGGGGCAGCCTGGAGGAGCTGGTGCCTGAGGCGTGGTGCCCATCTCCTTAGTCCTTTTGTAGCTTGGGTAAATTTTTAATATCTTCTGGGTGAGGTAAAACACCAAGGCTGAAACTCAGACCTGGGTGACGGTGGCATCCTCACCCAGGGGTGGTTTCTACAGCTCTTGATCTTTGTCCCCAGGTCTCCTCCCCTCTCCTTTGTTTCCTGGTCCCAGGGAAGCTGAGAGGTCATGTGGCAGGGGCTCCCTGCTGGGCCCAGGATTCATAGTGTTTCAGGACCCAGGCCCATTTTGCTTGGTCATTTGTTTCTGTTGTTGATGTGGCTGCACACCCACAGCTCCGGGATTCCTTCACCCTCCAACTCCGAATCCAATTTCGTAGCTCTCGGTGTTTTTCAGGTCAGTAGAAACTTTAAAAAACAACATTAAGCTACTCTATTGTTAATACAGAAAGGGAGCTTTGTTCTTCTGTTCCTCTCTAAAACTGATGCTCACTTATACTTCTCAAATGTTGAAAGAAAAGGATACTCTTTTCGTAGGAAATGTACCAGATTGAGGTGTCTGTAAAAACAACCAGTCTTGAAGAATCCTTCCCTTCTGCTGATGCCTGCTTTTAAAGGGCTCCCTCACCTACCACCAGAGTGACTGATTGAACCCACAGCATTATTTCCTGGGATGTTGAAATTGTGTGGCAAATATTTCATTAGTACCCTTCTTTTCCTGACTGCTATGTTAAATCTCGGAGTCAGTCTGGCTAATATTATACAAGAAACGGGCTCTTCTCGACTGTGCATGCGCTTCACCCAGGGCCTGGTCTCCCACAGATGGAATATTTGCTGAAGGAATGAATAAAGAGGAGTCTGGGAGAAAAGAAGCTGGAGATTTCTAAAATGGGAGAATTCCTACCCCAGATTTCTCAAGAATTGATTGCATAGTAAAAACATGCTCTTTATTCTTGGGGGGTTGTGTGTGGAGATTGTACCCAGGGCCTCATATATGCTAGGGAAAGCCTCTGCCACTGAGCTACATCCCAGCCTGTTTTGCTTTGCTTTTGAGGTAGGGTCCCACCAACTTGCCCAGGCTGTGATCCTCCTGCCTCAGCCTCCCAAGGACCCATCATTCATACCTGAAAGCTCTCTTAAGGGGTAAGGGGGCAGTCCAGTAGTGTTTTACTACTGAAACATGACACATGCAAGGCCCTGATTTTGATCCCCAGCACTGTAAAAAAAAAACAGACAAAAAAAGATTTTTATAAAATGATGTGCTCTTTTCCTCTTTGCTTAGCTAATTATTGGGGAAATATCTCAGACAAATCTTATTGGAAACAGAGGAAGCTTTAGGACCCAGGAGCCTTTAGACTCCAGCATTGCAAGGGTCCTGGCCTCTGGATTCCCCCAGCAGACTTAGTCATAGCCTGGGCCCTGGCTGTTCACAGGGTGAGAGAGCAGGCAGCACTCTGGGTTATTTTTGTCTAGGACAACTAAGTGATGTCCTATGCTCATCTTCAGAAGTGAGGGCCTGGGGCTCGGGTGGAGAGAGGCTGGTGTTCAGAACATCCTGACCACCACTTTCTACGCTAGGCTGGACGGAAGCCAGAAATACGTGGGGGAATGTTCAAGGCTTCCCCCGCAGACTCCAGGTTGAGCTCGGCCCTTGAGATCACACAGACCTAAGTCTCTGTCGTCCTGAGTTGTCCAACCTGACAAAGAAAAACAGATGCCTTGAGGCCAGGGAAGGCTCAACTCCAGGGAGAACTCCAACCAACCATTCTCAGAGGCTCCGGGGTTAGTTGCTGGGTGAGCTGTGCAGAGGGCGGAGGGAGGGGTGGGTGGCACAGTTGCACAAGGAAAAGGATCAACAAGTCAGAACTGGCCAGTGCTAGGGAGCTTGTCCCACCTGGTTGCTGGGCCCCAAGCCCATTTGTTCAGACTGATGCTGATTCCACTTTTCTAAAAGCTCCAGGTCCTTTTCAGGAGCCTTGACTGCTGGTGGTCCTGCAGCAAGCAAAAGTACACATTCTCAAGAAAGTAACTAAAAATATAGCCGGACATGGTGGCACAGGCTTATAATCCCAGCATTCTGGGAGGCTGAAGCAGGATCACAAATCTTAGCCTAGCCTGAGTAACCTAGTTATTAGGAATCATGGTTATTTTATCATTGTTTCTCTAAAGTGCACACTGCACCTGAGTGGTGGGTCTGTGGTAGAACATTAACTTCCACCTCATGAGCTATGCCTAAGAACTATGCATACATCACAGATAATCTAGCCATTTCTTCCCCTATCCCAATACAACTCAAAAGTCCTTCTCAAGCACACACATATATAGTTTATTCTGATCTCCTTGACCACTAACATTAGACAATCTTTACATATTTGTTAATTTATTTTACCCAGAAGGACTGTTTCTAGCAATGCCAAGGGCCCTGGACCCTGTCGAACAAAAACTTCACATCAGTCTTCAAACACTCTCTGCCCTCTTCAGACCTGGGATGGACGGACACGGGAACCCCATGCCCACGTTTCTAGACCCCTCCTCAGGTTAAAATCAAATCTAAAAATCTCAGCCTTCACTCTGACTTCTCTGGAACACATCCTCTCTATGCCTTCCCCAATGCACTGCATCAATAAACTTTTTTTTTTTTTTTAAGGGACTTTTTTCTTTGTTGTTACCAGGGATCGAACTTGGGACCTTGCACTTTCGAGGCAGGGGGCAGAACCACTGAAATCCCCAGCCCAATAAACTCTTAACTTTTCTGTGTTTCTTGGCTATGGGTAAATTCTCTTTACCACCAGTGGCACCAGCCTCTCACACACCACACCTCACACAGGGCACTAACAACTTAGGGAAAAAGATACTAAAAATTTATTTGTCAGACCCCAGTGCTATTGACATTTGGGGCTGGATCCTCGTTAGTTTGTATGGGGGACTCACTATCCCGTAGGACAGCACTGTAGGATATTTTGTAGCCGTTACCCAGGAAACTTTCAGTTGTAACAACCAAAAATGTCTCTATACATCCCCAAATATCCCTGGCTGGCAACATTGCCTCCTATTGAGGACAAATCACCCTCTGTGAAATTCTCCCACAGGGCGGCCTGGTATTCAGTCAGAACAAACCAAAACAATCTGCTTCTATGAGCTTCTCAGCAGGCCTTCCTGAGTTCCACCTCTGACTTGGTGGAGTGGGCTCCTCCTTGGGCTCCAGGCTGTGGAGATCCCTACCCTGGGCTTGTTCCCACCATGCCCTGCTCATGGGGAAGAGGCAGCAGGGCCTAGTAAATATGCCCCAGCACGGTCACCTGCGTCTCAGCACACCAAGCTCCTCCACGAATGTCAAGTCTACTTTCAAGACTTTCACGGCCCCTTCTCTGGCTCATTTCTCCATGCCCTAGGCCCTGCCACCATAGAGGCCCAAGCAGGGCCACGTAGTGTCCGTTTCTGGCCACGCACACGGCGCCTGCAAATGCTAGTCACACATTGCTGCTTGGACTCCACAGATGGCTCCTCCTCCCGGCACCACCTCCGCTCTGACGAAAGGGAGTGCAGAAGAGCAGGCTCATGTTCGCTCTGTGTCCACGCCACATTCCTCAACCTGTGCAAAGGTGGCCCAGGTGAACTGCCAGGAGGGAAGACAGAGACTTTAAGCCCGAGAATCAGCGTCCCTATAAGCCAGGGACACGCGACCTTGCACCCCCGACCCTGCAGCAGGCAGGACCCCATTACTGGTGAAGGGTCTCCCAGACGTGTTCCTGTGGGTCTCCGTCCTGGGCCGGTGTCTAAGGGACTCATCGCCGTCCCTGGGCTTGGACTCCGCGGTCTGCGCCTCCTCCGCAGGCAGGGAAGAGCCCCAGCTCACCCTTCCCCAGCGGAACACACCGAGTCCCTCTTGAGTTTGAACCCTGTTACTCACACCTTGGCTAATGACGGCCTCTCCTATTACTCCTCGCGCGGAGGTGAACGCTATTAGAGAGAAGGCGGCTGACTCACCGGCTTCCCCAGAGGCCCCCACGCAGGGCCTCACACGCCATACCGCGCGCCTGCTCTTCAGGCTGCTCTCTCTGAATCGGTGACCTTTAAAATTCATCCTGGCCAGAGCCAGGCCTGGTGGTGCAGCCCTGCAATCCCAGCACCTGAGGCAGGAGGATTGCAAATTTTAGTTCCGCCTAGCAATTTAGCAAGACTCTGCCCCAAATAAAAAATGGGCTAGGAATGTACCTGGGTGGAAGGGCACCCTGGGTTCTGTCCCCAGTACCAGGAAAAAATACTCTGCCTGGTTAGGATTAAAGTCATTGAGATTTATGAGAAAACCAGTCCAACCGGTTTCCACCCACCCTGTTTTCTCTGGTGCGCTTAGATCCTGAAGCGTTTTGTTTTGTCAACTTAATATTATCCTGCTATCAACACTCACTTCACGCTGGGCACCTTGTAAAGACTGAAAGCATCAAGAAAAGAGAAATTTTAGGGACTGAATAAATTCCCCAGGGCTGCTGTAACAAATTTGGTGGCTTAAAACAACCGAGTGAATTCTCTATGGCTTTGGAGGGCCTTCTGTTTCCTCTGCGGGCTGGAAGGGTGCCAGGTCCTTGCTGCCACTTGCTAGCTTTTTAATTTAGAGACAGTGTCTCATTGTGTTGCCCAGGGTAGTCTCCAACTCTTGGGCTCAAATGATCCTCCTGCCTCAGCTTCCCAAGTAGCTGGGACTACAGATACATTCCACTGCACTGGCTTCTTCCCTCTTTTTATAAAGACACCATCGTCGCTTAGAGCCCGCTTAACCCAGAATGACTTCATTACCTCTGTAAAGTCCCTACTTGCCAGCAAAGCCACACCGGGGTGTGGAAGTAGCTCAGTGGTGGAGGGCTTGCCTGGCCTGCCCGAGGTCCTAGGTTCAACTCAGTGCAGGAGCCCCACTCACAGGTGTGTGGGGGTAGGGGGTGGGGGTGGGGGTGGGGTAAGATTTGAACAATTCTGAGCACCTCACAGATGAGATAGTTCTCCCTGGAAAGCTTTGAAACCTGCAGGGCCCAGTTCCTCAAGGAGAGCTGTGGGTGGACTGTGGAACCCAGGGCACCAGCCAGCAATCTAGAGACCTGCAACAGAAAGTCATGGTTCCATTTCCTCTCTCCCAGGGCCTTTACACTGAGCCACACCCCTAGCCCTTAGTGACTCTCTAAGTCACTGAGTTGCCCAGGCTGGACTTGAATTTGTGATCCTCCTGCCTCAGTCTCCCAGAGTGCTGGGATTGCAGGCGTGGGCCACCATGCCTGGTTTAGATTTTGAAATTTTTTGGCTGTTGTTTTTTCAAATATTTTCTCTGACTTCTGTCATTTTGCGGTGGGGCTATAATTATGTTAGACAACTTGATATTTCCCATAGAGTACTGTTTATTTTTCTTTTATCTCTATTTTCCTTTAGCTGATTTCTATTATTTTCTATTACCGTATCTTAAATTTAGTAATCTTTTCTCTCAGTGTCTAGTCTACTGTTTATCTCATCTCTAGAATCACTGTTCCTTTTTTTATATCTTCCACCCATTTTTACTTTGTTTTTTTAGATAATATCTCACTATGTAGGGACTCCCTATTTAGTCCAGGCTGGCCTTGAACTTCCCATCTCTGTTTTTTTGTTTTTGTTTTGTTTTTTGAGATAGGGTCTCCACTTAGTCCAGGTTCATCTTGAACTCACTATGTCATTCAGGCTGGTTTAAACTCTGTGATCCTCCTGCCTCAGGCTCCCAAGTGCTGAGATTACGGGCATACACCAGTGCACCCTGCTTTCTCATTGTTTTCAAGTCTTGGGGGTTTTTTTGTTTTGTTTTGGTTTGGTTTTGGTTTTGTTTGCTACTGGGGGACCTTGCGCTTTCGAGGCAGGCAGTGGAACCACTGAGCTAAATCCTCAGCCCGATACATAATTAACTTCCTTGGTTTTTTGGGGGGGTTTTTTTGGTCCCGGTACCGGGGATTGAACTCAGGTCCTTGTGCTTGCAAGGCAGGTGTTGAAACCACTGAGCTAAATCCCTGGCCTGTATCTTGTTTTTATTAGCGTGTGTTGGTTATACAGGTGAATGGGTTTCATTTCAGCAGATTGGTGCGTGCACATCACACACTTGTTCATCCTCCCTATTGTCCCCTTGTCCTGCCCTCCCCCAACTTCACCTTTGGGGGAGGGTTCAACGTATACTCTCTCTATATATATATCTTTTGGTACTGGGGATGAACTCAGGACCTTGTGCTTTCGAGGCAGGTGGTGGCCCCACTGAGCTAAATCCCTGGCCCTTGTACAATATGTTTTGATTATATTATCGCAGATAGGAAAGTAATTAGATATCTTGTAGGCAGTTAGACAGGGCCTCCCTTTAGGCACCAGCCCTCCAGGAGCCAACATAGCAAGGAGCCAATATGGACAACAATTGAGACACATTCACTGGTCGGCATTATAAAAAGAGGAGGCACTACTTCCCCTGGGGATAGATAGCAGTGATTGATATTCTAAATGGAAAATTCCTTGTATGTGACTTGTTTTCCGATTTGACCCTGATTAATCAATATTACCTGGGTGACTGTACTTGTAATCTTATTGGTTGGTCATGGTTTTGTCCTACCTCATGCCCACATTGTACATTTCCACTGGGTCTTATAGTTTTTGTACCCGCCTCACCACATGGCTTTGGTGTATAAAACATCTTTGAAAAGCGGGGTGAGCGGGCAGCTCACTTTTTGGTACCCCTTCTGTCTACTCTTAGACAGAAGCTTTCTTTCTCTCAATAAATTTTTCCTACTCTTAACCTCTGTTGTTCCTAGAATTCATTCTTCAGTTTTAGAGAACACGAACTCTCATTTTGGATATCTAGTAGGTTTGGGAGTTACGTCTCTTCCCCCTATATCAATATCCCCAGCCTTTACTTGCCCTTTCATCCCCTCCTCCTTCCTTTCTTTGACTTCCATTTTCTTGCCATCTTTTTTGGATTCTACACATTAGGGAGAACATCCAATATTTGTCTTTCTGAGTCTGATTTATTTTGTTCAACATATAGTGATCTCTAGATCTACCCGGTTTCCTGCAAATGACAAAACTGTTCTTCATGGCTGAGTAATACTCTGCTGTGTATATACACCACATTTTCTTCATCTAAAAGCCCATTCCCAACCACAAGTACCCCGTGGTTTGGCCCACAGTTGGTTCTTCTGCCTTTCCTTGTTCTCAGACTTCTTTCTGGCTACTCACTGGCCACCGGTTCTCATGTCACAACATGCATCACACCTCTGTTTTTTTACCTTCCCCGTGTGTGTGTATGAGAATGAATTGTCATTTTTGTCACAGTTCCTTGCCTTTTTTTTTTTTTTTCCCAGTACTGGTCCTTAGACCCAAGCCTTCCCACTGAGCTATATCTCCAGCCCTTCTTTTACTTTGAGACAGGGTCATGCTAAATTGCTAAGTTGCCAATTAGGGCTTACACTTGCAATCTTCCTATCGCAGCCTGCTAGCGTGCTGGGATTACAGGTGTGTGACCATGCCCAGGTTGGTTTTTCAATTTCTGTTTTTATCAATATCCTAATCCCTGAGAGCTGTCCTGGTTTGGAACTGGATGGTTGTCCAGGTAAACCATCCGTCCTTAGTCCTATGGTTTCCTCCACACACAGAACTTGGAATGTTTTGGGCCAGGGATTTAGCTCAGCGGCTCCATGCCTACCTGGAAAGGGCAAAGTCCTGACTTCAATCCCCAATACAAAAAAAACCCTAGAATGTTTTAATTGCTTTAGTAACTCAGTGGGAAAACACTGGCTCCAGAATGAGGATGATTGTACTGCAGAATGCACACTTGGGGATTTCACAAAGTGGCCCTGGGATTTTTTGGCATGTTGTTTTGTTTTGTAGTACCAGAGACTGAACCTAGGCCTTCACACTAAACTACATCCCCAGCCTCTTTTTTGTTTTAAAGGGTCTCCCTAAATTGGCCAAGCTGGCTGAAACTTGTGATCCTCCTGCCTTAGGGTCCAGACTGCTGGAATTTACAGGTACATGCCACCATTCCTGGTGCCCTTAGGATTACTGAATCAAAATGTTTGTATTCCAGTGTGGTGAGGCACACCTGTAATTCCAGTGCTCTGAAAGGCTGAGGCAGGAGGATTGCAAGTTCAAACCCACCCTGGGCAATTTAGTGAGGTCCTGTTTTATAATAAAATTTTTTTTTTTTTGGTACCAGGGACCAAACTTGGGTCCTTGCACTTGCGCAGCAGGCGGCGAAACCACTGAGCTAAATCCCTGGCCCAAAAAATTTTTTTAAAGGGTGGGGATGTAGCTCAGGGTGAAGGCCCTGGGTTTGATCCCCAGTACCAGAAAAAAACAAGTCATAGGGCCGGGGATTTAGCTCAATGGTTCTGCTGCCTGCCTGGCAAGCGCAATGGCCCGAGTTCGATTCCTGGTACCAAAAACACAATTCATGATTGGTGGTCAACCCCATCAAAGTTAAAAACTTTTGTTCTGAAAAATATCCAAAAAAAAAAAAAAAAGACAAGTTATAAACCGGAGATTGATGGCCATTACTAACGTTAAACAACTCTTTTATTATACAGAGGAGAACAGAAGTTCCTTCCGGTCTGTTGTTTCCGGATGGAACGAGGAACCCCATGACTTCTGCCCTTCCTTCAGGGCTCTGCGGGATGGAAGGAACGGGGCCCATAAATGGCTTTGATTTCCTAGTGAGAGCTGGTTCCTGTGTAAACATTGGAGGCAGATGTTTGTAATGAGAGTGTATGACAAGGTCTGACGTGGCTCCTCAGTGAACAAGGGTTGCTCAGAATCATGGGACTTTTCAAATAACCCACTTAAAGGCCACAGAAAAACACAGACAGGGAGGGTATCTCCAGGAAGGAGTGGGTTGGAACCAGCAGCTGTGAAGGGATCTGGGTTCCCAGGAGTTACCCATTCCATCAGGTACTGTGTCATGGGCCATAGACCGTGGACCCCACAAAGCTCGAGGAAGTAGAGAAAACCTTGAATTAGAGCTGGGGCAAGCTCCATGAAGGACCCTGGGTTCTTTAACATGGCCTCCTCAGGCCTTCACCAAGGGCAGACTGCACCAGAGCTGCTCAGGGGAGGGCTGTTGTCACCAGCAAAAGCAGCAGGGACTGCTGGGAATGGACACCAAACACCGCCTCTGAGGAGGTCACCAGGAGCCAGCTGTGAAGGAAACCAGGCTTGGCAGAGGGTTGCTTAACCAAACCCAGCCAGCTGTGCCCTGGCCCTGTGTTACCTGGTTAGAGTCAGCCGATGGAACATGTCCCTCCCTAAACCTAGGGGCCCCACTTTAGAATTCAATTCCTTGGGGTTATTTTCCCCTTGAGTCTGGACATCTCATCCTGAATGGTAAATAAATTTTCTTTTCCCCTACTAAGACTTCTTCTTCTTTTTTTTTTTTTGGTACCAGGGATCAAACTCGGGATCTTGCACTTTCTAGGCAGGTGGTGGAACCACTGAGCTAAATCCCCGGCCCCTTAATAGGGCTTCTAGTTGAGAACCACACCCTTCCACAGGAGAAGCAGAAGTAAAATATGAGGAAAAAAGGATGCGTGCACACAACTCTTTAATTCTCTCCAAGACCCGTGAAAGGGGACTGGCTCCCAGAAAAGTCCAGAAGGCAGAGAAAGGGACAAGAGGCATCACAGCATCACAGCCACCAAACACCAGCAGGTAGCTGTGCTAGTTTGAGCTATGGATGGCGCCAGAGTGTAGGAATTTCTCTGGCACCCGAAGGCAGATTCACCTTTGGCCTGGTTACAGGCACAGTTAGGCAACAGTTTGGGAGCTGTGGTTGTCACGCCTGGGCCTAGCGTGGGAATACAGGGTCTCACGCTAGAGCTGCTGGTGCTTCTGGGACTAGGGCCTCAGACTGTGCTGGCGTGACCGCCATCGAAGATAGGACTGAGGGCGTTTGTGCTGGGAAGGCTGCCTGCATCCTGAAATGTCTCTGGCCTGTGGTCACCAGGCCTGACATTCCTTTAACCTGGAACAAAGGCTTGTGTTGCAGAAAGAAAGAGTAAGCTTAAAATGGCAGGAAAAAAGAAATTCAAATCAGAGAGAAAGAGAAACGTTGTGTGTCCGTGTGTGTGTGTCTGTCCAGGATGGTGTGATTTTGCTGAAGGCCATCCCAATAAGAAAATCTGGGGTTTTTTCCCCTCACAGTGGCAGCAGAATCATTTCAGAATGGGTGTAGGGTCTCCCAGAATTAGGAAGCAGAGGAAAACAAGCCCTTAATGAAGGTGAGGGATGGGAGGGGGAATCCATTCTCTCAGAGCCTGGACTGTCGCTCGGAAGTGCGCTACTGCCCTCTGCTGGCCGCGGCGGGCATGGCCGCCTGAACACGAGAAGGACTTCAAGGCCTCTCCCCTCGTCTGAGAGAAACTGAAGGATGGATTCCTGTGTGAAGTGGGAGACAAATCAAAGGCGAATCATCTTCCACCACGCTCGGCCCCGCCCCAGGAATACACGTTGGTCTCTTTTGGACTCGAAAATAAACAGGTACACCTAGCTCCCCCAGCTGGTGCTTAGCAAGTGGGCCCGCACTGGCTTGAAAGTCCGAAGAACAATGGCTTCGAGCAGACTGGGGCACAGGGCCTCCTGCACCTCTTCCGGCGCGGGCGGCGAGCTGGCTCGGGCTGGAGCCACGGGAGATCTGCCGCGTGCTCGCTGTCTCCGGCCTACAACGCCTTAGCCGTTGAGAGATTTCCCAATCGGCCCCTAAAATCGGAGTGGACACCCTTCTACTATTTCTCTCTAGTTTTTTACAGCGTCTTACTGGGAGTCGACGACCCGCCGCCTTTGAAAACCTCCCCAAAGAAGCGTGGGTTCCTGTTCATCAAGTGCCTGGGGGTGAGAAAGGGAGCCGGAAGGGAGGAGACTTTCTCAGCACAACCCTCTAGTGACCCTTGGTTTTAAATTTCACCTTCGATGGAGGGGTTGAAGGGAGGGCTGGGCAAGGGTGAAAAATAAGAACCAAGAGAGACCATGTAAAGGTGCAAATTTCCAATGATGAATGTCATTATATTGTATACCTAAAATGTACCAATGATTAGAATGAATAATCAATAATGTAAAATAGGAAGAAAAGGTCCAAAGGGGCAGGGGTATTGGGAGGGGCAGGGGAAAGGAAAGAAGGGAAAGGAAAAATGCTGAGAAATGGAAAAAATGGAAATAAAGCCTTTGTAAATAGGGAAGGGTGGAGGGGGTGAAGGGAGGGCTAGGAATGGGGAGAAAATAAGAACCAAGATGCATTATGTAAAGGTACAGTTCCCAATGAGAAATGTAACTGTGTTGTATACCTACAAAGTACCAATAAAAGAATTTAATAAAAATAAATAAAAATAAATAAATTTCACCTTCAGGAGAAGCAGGAAGATGTTTCCTGGTTTATTGACCTTTCTCAGGGGCACAGTGGGAAACATGGCTCTGAATTCAGAGGATGACAAAGGCTAGCATATCCAAGTTTTGTTTGTTTATTTTGTTTATTTTTGTTTATTTTGCTCATCTGTGATACTCTCCTTGGTCTCCCTGTGTGAGACGGAAAGGCATTATTTCATGCTACACACGTGCTCATCTCTCTTTCTTCCTCTCAGCAGCTGTTGGCTCTCCATCGCTGCTTTCTTTTTCTTTTCCTTTTCTCTATCACTGCTTTCATCATTCTCTCTGCTGTAGTCTTTGGTATACTGTGTTACAAATCTGTGTCACTATAGTGGGTGCTTCACAGGTCTGTCAAAGCACATGGACTGTGGTGTCTGGGTTGACAGGCTACCACAAAATATAGTGCTAGGGAAGGTGAGGAGAAAGGTCTGAGAAAGAAAAGCACTCTGAAAAACCCTTAACCCAGCTGACAAGAGACTCAAGCACTCTGGCTTCCTTCCAGAGAGGGCTGAATGTACCGTGGGGTGACAAGAGGTGGCCCTTTCCTTCTCTCTTCTCCCCTCAGTTAAGATCACGCCAGTGCCCCTCCTCACAGCACTCTGGGTGGGTGGGGGCCACCAGGGTTCCTAACCAGAGTGCTTGCCTGGGGACACTAACCAAGGTCACCAACCACCTTCCATGCCCAGGGGCCACTAACTGGTGGACTCTAGGATTGTCCTGTCCACCCTCATACCTTTGTGTCCTTGCTTCCTCAGCCTGAGGGTCTCAGCAGCTCCTCCTGCATGAGAGGTGGAAGTACCACCAAAATCCTGCTGGAAACCCTGTTACTGGCAGCCCATAAGACGGTGGAGCAGGGCATTGCAGCATCTCCAAGGTAGGGAGGGAGGCTCTAGGCAAGAGAGACCAGAGCCAGGCAGTGATGGGGTGAGGTGGTGGGGGATGGCAGGCTTTTGAGAGCTGACCTTGGAACAGGTCAGGTTGTGCAGGCCAGAGTGTGTCCTGCTGTGCCTACCTTCCCTGAGCAGGGTCTCTAACCTACCTTCCAGACTGCTCACTAGCTCCTCATCTACTCTCAGATCCCATCTGCCCTCAAGGCTCTCTGGATCCCCCCTTCCTCTTTCTGCTCTTTAGTTTTCTGCAGCCCCCCAGCCCTTTCTGCTCCCCCACCCTCAGTGCTGGGTGCTCCTCAGTGCAGTCTGGCTCTCCTTTCTGTGCCTCCTCCGGTGACCAGCAGAACTTAGTTTTATGGGAATTGGTTGGAGGGGTGCCTACGCTTTCTGAGGGAGCTGGTAATTTCTCTCCCAGATGCCTTCTGGAAATCCTGCGGACATTTGAGCGGGCTCATAAGGTGACCTACAGTCAAAGCTCCAAGATCACCCTGATGAAGCAAGTCAGCACCAGGTACCCAGAGGTGCAGTGGGAGGGGGCGCCCAAGGGCAGAGGAGACTGAGAAGTTTAACATTGGCGGGAACAATGGGTCTCTGCACTGGCTTCTCTGTTGACCCCTGTGTTCTTCTGTATGCATCTCTGGCTTCTTTTTCATGGTGACCTCTTATGTCCTGACCTCTGACTGGTCCTCAGCCTGGAGAAGAGAGGCCGAGAGCACTTGGTTAGCTGGCAGAACCTGAGCCTCATTGCCATCATGGATGGGGTGGAGTGCATCCATACCTTTGGTGCTGGTGGGACCCCAGTCCACACATTTTTCCTCACCCCACCTGACCCAGCCAACTAGTCTACTATCCAAACCCTGCCAACTATTGGAGAGACCTAAATGTCGGTTCTGCCCTACTGAATAGGCATTTCAGTCACATGCTTCTTCCTTTGGGTCCCAACTCCGTCCTCCATCCAGCTATGGTGTCTCACATGGGTTACCCCTCACCTCACATCCACTTTCTGTTTCCCTCCCAGCCCCACTGGCAGCCTCCAAAGCCTGGAACTTTCCTTTCCTACAAGGCCCATCATTCTCTTTCCCTGTCTTTAAACTTCCCAGATTTCCGAGACATCTGTGGCTTTCTCATTGGGGATCACAGTGACATGTTTAACCAGAAGGATGAGCTCACCAATCAGGTTGGAGGATGGGACTTGGGGAAGTTGTGAGGATCACTGAGGTGCAGAGGGCGGGAAGCAAGGGACAAAGAGGAGCATGATGGGATAAATAGTCTCAAGAAGCAAATATGGATTAGAGATCACGAGGCTTTGGGGCTGTACAGGGAGTGTCGGAAAGTGGAAGGCTCTGGGTCTATCCCCAGAAACCCAGTTCCAGTCCAGCGACTTGCTACATCATCTTGGGGAAAACTCCACTTTCTTTTTTTTTCTTTTTTTGGCAGTACTGGGGATGGAACCTGGGTGCTCTACCACTCAACTACATCCCTATTCCTTTTTTTTTTTTTTTTGAGACAGGGTCTCACCAAATTATGTAGGCTGGTCTTGAACTTCCTGGGTCAGTTTCTCACATAGCTGGGATGGCAGACATGCACCACTGTGCTCAGTTTAAAACACTGTCTATCTATCTATCTATCTATCTATCTATCTATCTATCTAGTGGTATTGAAGTTTGGACCAAGGGACTTTAAAAATTTCTGTTTTGAGACAGGATTTCACTACATTGGTAAGTTGCCCAGACTAGGCTCAAACTTGCAGTCCTCCTGCCTCAGCCTCCCAGAGTGCTGGGATTATAGGAAGGTGCCACCACACCTGGCTGAAGCACTGTCTTTGAAAACTCTGATTTTTTTCACCTGTAGTCAAAAGGGCTGTATTAGCTATCTCCTAAGGTTCCCTCCAGTCTGCAAGCCTGTGCTGTACAGTATTCTCATGGGAGGGCCTCTCCCACCCTCTTCTGCTCCAGGGTCCACAGTTCACCTTCTCCCAGGAAAACTTCCTGACTTCCATCCTGCCCTCCCTCATGGAAACTGACACTGTTATCTTCATTTTCACCCTGGATGGTGAGAGGGAAGATGGGAAGGGGTGGTGTGGGGAGCCGGAAGCAGTAGAGCCACTCAGAAAAGCTGCCATTTTTCTGGGTCTTGGGACAGGGGGTCAGAGGGAGGCACAGGTGAGAGTATTGATCCAGGGTGGCAGGAAGGACATCTGCCCAGCCCACCTTTCCACTCCACCTGTCCCTCAGATAACCTTGTGGAAGTGCAGACACTGGTGGAGCAGGTGAAAGAGAAGGCCAGCAATATCCAGGCCCTGGCGCACAGCACTGTGGGGCAGTCCCTGCCGGTGAGGGTCCAGCCTTGAAAGGGGCCTGGGTGGCAGTCACAGGCTGGCCTGCCTGCACATGTCGCTCTGGGTCCTGTTTCTCTTCGGGCCCCTCTGAAGAAGCTCTTTCCCTCCATCATCACTGCTTTTCTTCGAGTACGAAGGGAACTTCGTCCAGGTATGGAGGGTGAGAGAGTAATATTTGCAGTGAGGGGCTAAGAGTGGGGGAGACCTCAGAAATTAGAAAACCCAATGCTGGAGGGGAGAAAGCTTGAAGGTTTGTCTGCCCCCCACCAAGCCAGTAGATTCTTGAGTTAGCGAGTCACTAGGCAGTTTCCAAGGCCATGGACTGCTGGGTTCAGCTTGCTCTAAGAATATGTGGAAGGTCGAGATGGGCCTCCAGTCACTTATCAGACATCCATTTGTCCTTTGGGACAAGTTAGTTGTTGATTGTATAGTCCTCCTTACTATCCTAAAACTTGTCTATATATATATATATTTTTTGGTACCAGGGATCAAACTCGGGACCTTGTGCTTCCAAGGCAGGTGGTGGAACCATTGAGCTAAATCCCCAGCCCATCCTAAAAGTTGTAAGACACATTTTTTGGCAAGTTGCACTATGCTGAATTCACTGATAGATATTCCCTGCTTGACCATGAAATTATAATCCAAGACAAGCACTGGTAATAATCGTAGAAATCACAATCAGTTTGTGTGCACTTTGCAGTTTAGTTTGGATCAGGAATCAGAAAGTTTGGGTTTTGGGCCACTCTGCTGTGTGGCCCAGGAAAAAAGAAATCTTCTATCTTTGAGCTTTGCTTTTCTCACATGCCACCTGCCTGTGGGGCAGAACCAGGCCCCGAAGGGTTCCCTGGGGGGTGATGTGGCCTCTCATCCGTCATTCATTCGGGTCCTCAGGAAGGTTCCTGACTCGACACAGCAGCTCACAGGCTGCCTCAATGGACTCAGAATTCTTATGGAAACTTCTCTTGGCCAAGCAGGAGATCCACTGTCCTTCCAATGCACATCTCTGTCTTCCCTTCCAAATGGTGTTCATTGTCACAACCCTCCTTCTTGGCACGCTCCTCATATACACTGACTTCTAAAAACCTCCTCATGTTATACACCTCGCTGCAACTGTAGGCTCCCCTATAGTGTCATAACACCTATGATGCCATAACCCCTTGCTCCTTAACATCTTGTGGATGTTATCTCAGTTCCCAGTCTCCTAAGGAATGTATTTCATTTAACAATTTCACAGCTAAAATTAAGAGATTGAGGGATTGTAATCATGGACATACAGCTTAAAAATGAATCAGGACTTAAACTCAGGTTTTGTGAATCGAAGTATATGGTTTATTTGGCTATACAAAATAAATTTCATCCACATCTAAGATTTAAGATAGACTCTTTTATTCATTCATTCAAGAAATATTAAGCATCGGCTGGGGATTTAGCTCAGTGGCGCTGCACCTGCCTTGCAAGTGCAAGGTCCTGAGTTTGATCCTAAGCACTGGGGTGGGGGGAAAAAGAAATATTAAGCATCTATCACAAGTCAGATACTGGACCAGGGACAAGGGATATATAGTAGGGAATGGTAATCTATGATCTTTTAATCCTCTTTTAAGGAAAAATGTTATTAAAATAGCAATATATCTTTGTTGTAAAAACTTTTAAAAATAAAGAAATGCAAGCCAGGTGTAGTAGTGCACGTCTGTAATCCCAGCACTCATGAGGCTGAGACAGGAGGATCACCATGAGTTCAAGGCCAGCCTGGGATACATAGTGAGTTTCAGGCCAGCCTGAAATATATAGCAAGAGCCAATCTCGATAAAGAAAGAAGGAAAGAAAAAGAAAGAGAGAGAGAGAGAGAAGGAAAGAAAAAAGAAGGAAAGAGGAAAGAAAAATATAGGACTGTACTTGACGTGCTAATTTTACATTGCTTTTCTTCATTTAAAAATTATGCATATCTTTACTAATAGACCCATGACATCATTTTTAATGTCAACATAGCTTATCACTGTGTGGATGCATCACCATGTGTTTAACCCTAACTGGCAGACATGGAGTCAGTTAAAATATTATTTTTGGGCTGGGGATGTAGCTCAGTGGTTCCACTGCCTGCCTCACAAGCACAAGGTCCTGAGTTTGATCCCCGGTACCAAAAATATATATATTATTTTTCTCAGAATGCTCTGCAGATAATCTTGATACACACACCTCTGGGGCATTTGACAGTTTCACTAAGGACCACCAAAGAGGTTTACAACAAAGTGTGAGACCTCTTGTTCTGCCACACCATCATAAACGCAGGTCTTCGCTAATCCTCAGTTCATTACCCTTTCCGAATCACCAAAGCCACGAACCAGAACAGAAAACCTTTCCTTCTGTGCTATTTAATTTGTAGTTGCTTAATTACTATGGATGTTTACTGACCACAGATGTGTATCAGCCATTTGATTTTTCCTTTCATCTACTTTTTCTTCATGTCTTTTAAAATTTATTTTTATTTTTATTATTTTTGGGGGGGGGTACTGGGGATCGAACTCGGGATCTTGTGCTTGGGAGGTAGGCAGTGGAACCACTGAGCTAAATCCCCAGCCCACACTCACTTTTCAAAAAAGAAGCATGAGAAGGATTTACTAGAGGAAGACACAGGACGCACTCAAGAGTGGAGGGCATCACCCATTCTTTTTGGAGGGGATTTATTTTCTTTCTGATTTGTAAGAGATATGTAGAGCAAGAAAAGTAGCCCTCTCTGTTTTATATTTTAGCTAGTTTATTATTTTCCTTTTTTATATATTTTTGATATAGAGACTTTTAGTCACTTAACTCTATCAGTCTTTTCCTTGCTGGGGTTTTTTTGTTTTGTTTTTTTTTCTTTGGTACCGGGGTTTGAACTTGGGTCCTTGCATTTGTGAGGCAGGCAGCAGAACCACTGAGCTAAATCCCTGGCCCTCCTTGGTGGTTTTTATCTTTCATGTGATGCTGCTCTTATCTTTCTAAATGAATTAATATTGTCAGAAAGAAGGTGGCTTCCATTAGGGCTTATAAATCCTTAGTTGTAGGTTCTGTGTGTGTGTGTGTGTGTGTGTGTGTGTGTGTGTGTGTTACTGGGGGTTGAACCGAGGCCCTTAGCCCTGAGCTACATCCTTGGCCCTTTTTCTTTTTTGAGACAGGTTCAGGTTCTCGGTATGTCACTAAGTTGCCCACACTGGGCTCAAACTTGTGGTCTTCCTGCCTCAGCCTCCCAGAGTGCTGGGATCACAGGCATGTGCCACCATACCCAGCTTGTAGAAATATTTTGACATCAACTGTCCCCACACTTTTATTTTTTTAATTTTCAAACCTAAAAATTGTAGGAATAGTACAGTGAACACCCATACACTTTTCCCTAGAGTCACCAACCATTTTCCGCCTTTGCTATATTTCTCTTTTCTCTGAATCATTTGGGAGAAAACTGGAGATACCATAGCCCTGCACACCAATTACTTTGGAATGTGTGCCCTAGGAACAAGGACATTTGCTTATATGACTACAGAATAATTATCCACTCAAGAAAAAGACAATTAGTAAAAGAAAAAAAAAAGACAATTAGTATAGTACCATTATATCCAATCCATATTCAGATTTCCCTAATAATCTCCCTGGATTGTTTTTATTTTTAGCCTCCAAGATCCAATCAAAGATGATGCATTACATTTAGCTATCAAGTCTTTTTGCCTTAATTAATATTTCTCAGTGCTTTTTCTTTTTATTTGTCTGACATTGATGTTTTAGAAGTCTAGGAAAATTGTTTTTAAGAATACGCCTCACTTTGGATTGGTTGATTTTTTTTTTCTGGTACCAGGGATCAAACTCAGGACCTTGAACTTGCCAGGCAGGCACCAGCACCACTGAGCTAAATCCCCGGCCCAATTGTTTCTTCATTATATTCAGGTTAAATTCCTTGGCAAGAGTGCTGCATAGTAGAAGTTGTGTCCTTCCAGCGAGCTACATTAGGAGGCAGCCAATGTCAGCTTCCCCTTTTATCGATGAGGTTGCATTTGGCCACTTGGTGAAGGTGATGACTCTGAGATCCCTCTCATCCTATTGCTCAGCAGTCTTTCACCCATGGTGTGAGCATCCATTGGTGACTCTTGCTTGAATCAGTTATTACGATGGTGGTTTCTATTTATATCCCTTCTATCTATGTCATTGTGGGTTTTTTTGGTACCAGGGATTGAACTCGGGACCTTGTACTTGAGAGGCAGGCGGCAGAACCACTGAGCTAAATCCCTGGCCTCCTTCTATCTATGTCATTAGTTGACATTCTTCTGCAAAGAAAAGCATCCTCTTACTCTCTTTTTCTCCATCTGTGTTTGGTTAGTGTCATTCTGGACTCAGTATGAATTTTTTCTTGTTGTTAATGTGTTTTAATTGTACTGGTGGTTGGGGTGTTTTTTTTTTTTTTGGTACCAGGGATCGAACTCAGATCCTTGCGCTTGCGAGGCAGGCGCTGAAATCACTGAGCTAAACCCCAGCCCCTGTACTGGTGTTTGAACCCAGGGCTTTTGCACTGAGCTACCTCTTCTGCCCTTTTTAATTTTGAAATTTTGAGTCAGAACCTCATTAAGTTGCTAAATTCTGTGTTTTCCCCAAAATAAGACCTAGCTGGAAAATAAGCGCTGGCTGTTACCATGGTGATGGCCAGTGTCATGAAGAAGATTACACCTACTGTTCTCTTGCTCGGTGGCTGCCCTGTAATGGCAGGTAAGGTAAGGTAACTGTGGCTGCCTTTTTTTTTTTTTTTTTGGTACCGGGGATCGAACTCGGGACCTTGCGCTTGCGAGGCAGGCGCCGGAAACACTGAGCTAAATCCCCAGCCCTGGCTGCCATTTTTGATCTCTAGTTTTCAAGGCTGATTATTTTTTGGTTAGGTCTTATTATCCAGGAAAATGCAGTTGCACAGGTTGGGCTCAAACTTGGGGTCCTCCTGCGTCAGTCTCTCAGGATTCTGGAATTACAGGGATGTGCCACTGTACCTAGCTTGCTTGTTTCATTGTAATACTCAAGGTGAGAGCTTATTCAGGTAGGCTCCCTGTGAAATATTCACATCCATATTTGAACACTGCTGTGTTTCATTTTGAAAAACAAAACATTTTTTCTTAGGCAA